AACCCTGGGAGGCAGCAGGTGATGGTTTAACTGCCTGGACACTTGACAACCACATGGGAGACCTGAACTGAGTTCTGGGCTCTTAGCTTTGGATTCACCAAGTTTTGGCTGTTGTGGGCATTAAAGAAGTGAACCAGCAGATGGAGGCAAGAGAGAGAGAGAGAGAGAGAGAGAGAGATCCCTCTGTCTTCCAAATAAAATGAAAATGAATAAATTTTAAAAAGATTTTTATTTCTTTAATAAAGTACTTGAAAACTTTAATCCTATTTTCAAGAGGCAATATGCAGTTAATTTATTTAATGATCAAATAATCAACTTTAATTGATTAAATTAATGAAGTACTTGAAATTGTTTCAACCACAGATTTAATAATTGGTCTTCATACTGTGGACTCATTAACTACATGGAGGCATGGGACAGCTATCACCTTAACCAACGGATCATGAGTGTCTTGATAAGATACGCTGACAGCGGCCGGTGTTGAGGAGTAGCAGGTAAAGCCGCAGCCTGTGATGCCAGCATTCCATATGGGTGCTGGTTCAACTCTGGGCCATTCCATTTCCAATTCAGCTCCCTGCTAATGAATGTGCCTGGGAAAGGAGAAGATGGCCCAAGTGCACCCATGTGGCAGGCTTCAAAGACGCCCCTGGCAGGGCCAGCGCTGTGGGGCAGCAGGTTAATGGCCTGGCCTGCAGCACAAGCATCCCATATGGGCACCGTTTGGAGTCCTGGTTGCTCCACTTCCAATCCAGCTCCTTCTTTTATTTTTTTAAGATTTATTTATTTATTTGAAAGTCAGAGTTACACAGAGAGCGAGAGAGCTTTTCCATCCGATGGTTCACTTCCCAACTGGCCACAATGACCGGAGCCATGCCAATCTGAAGCCAGGAGCCAGGAGCCTCTTCCAGGTCTCCCATGCAGGTGCACAAGGATTTGGGCCATCCTCTACTGCTTTCCCAGGCCATAGCAGAGAGCTGGAACAGAAGTGGAGCAGCCGGGACTCCAACCGGTGCCCATATGGGATGCCGGCACTTCAGGCCAGGGTATTAACCCACTGCGCCACAGCGCCGGCCCCTCTAGCTTCTGATATGCCTGGGAAAGCAGCTGAGGATGGCCCAACTCCTTGAGCTGCTGCACCTACATGGGAGACCGGGAAGAAGCTCCTGGCTTTGGATCAGCTTAGCTCCAGCTGTTGTGGCCATTTGGGGTGTGAACCAGCGGATGGAAGATATCTCTCTCTCTCTCTCTGTATCTGCCTCTACCTCTAGTCTTTCAAATAAATAAAAATAATTCTTAAAATAGCACCTAGTCCCAGCCATCATGGCCATGTGGGGAGTGAAACAGCAGATGAAAGATATCTCTTTCTCTCTCCCTGACTCTCTTCCTTTCAAATAAATAATTCTTTAAGGGGGGGGGGGGTGGCATTCACAGCACATCTGTAGTGACCCTACCAAAAGTGAATAAGCTAAATTTAACCATCAGAAACATCAGAGAAATCCAAACTGAAGGACATTACAAAACAACTGGCCTGTACGCCTCAAAAATCTCAATGCCTAGGGGCCGGTGCTGTGGCACAGCAAGTAAAGCTGCCGCCTGCAGTACCAGCATCCCATATGGGCACTGGTTCAAGTCCCAGCTGCTCCACTTCCGATCCAGCTCTCTGCTATGTCCTGGGAAAGCAGTAGAAAATGGCCCAAGTGCTTGGGTCCCTGCACCTGCATGGGAGATCAGAAGAAGCTCCAGGCTCCTGGCTTCAGATCAGATCAGCTCCGGCTGTTGCAGCCAATTGAGGAGTGAACAAGCAGATGGAAGACCTCTCTCTCCTCCTCTCCTTCTTCTTCTGTGTAACTCTGACTTTCTAATACATAAATCTTAAAAAACAAAAAGCAATGCCTATAAACAAAAGGCAAAGAAACCATTTCAGATGGGAGTGTAAAGAAATGACAGCTGAATGAAATGCTTTGCTAATAAGGACACGGGAATAATCGACAAAATCTGAATGAGGTATATAGCTAACTAATTTTGATCTTTATTCTATGGTTATGAAAAAGAAATGCCCTTGTTTTTAGGAAATACAAATTGAAAAGTACTTAGGGATTCCTAATGCTCCTGGGAAGGCAGCAAAAGATGGCCCAAGTACTTGGGTTCCTGCCACCCACATAGGAAACCCAGATGAAGATCCAGCCTCCCAGCTTTTAGCTGGCCCAGCCCTGGCCACTGCAGCCATTTCAGGAATGAATTGGAGAATAGAAGATACCTTTTCATGTTTCTCCCTTTCTGTCATTCCACCTTTCAAATAAATATATATTTTTAAAAAATAAAAGCTTTTTTTCTTCCAGCAACATACAATGTAAATATTCCTTTAATACTGTTAAATTTAATGTAGAATCAGCCTTAATGAGGTAACTGTTCTCTTTTCTGTTTTTCCTATGTATTAATATTCCCACTGGCATTTAGGAGGAAGAAGAGAAGAGTGAAACAGAAGTTCACTGTTAAAAGAAAAATGAGACATACAAGTAACTGCAGATGGAAGGAAAGACTTGGTCTCATCTTCATTCAGAATCAGAATAAATGCACTAGAACTATAGAAGAGAGTGGATGGGACATTAAAGATCCCTAATACTGAAGACTGATGGGGTATTCAGAGGCTTTAAGAGACTCACAGACGTTGAGTTGATTTAAAACACTCGGAGATCAGAGAGGTTCAGTGCCTTAGATTCACAGGGAGTGAGAGCAAAGTCGTGAAATATAAAACCCTAGAACCCCTGAATCTCAATCTAGTACTCTGCACACTAACTAAACAAAGTCCACACACGGCGTTCTAAGAAAACCAGACCTTGGCTGTCTGAACCAGCAATGCGCTTGACACAGGGAAGACTCAATGAAAGCTACTGTGTTACCCAACCCCAGCACTAGCTCTTCTAAGTTACTATTCTTCTGATAACAGATACATAAGTCACCAAAGTGTATTTTAACCAGTTTTTGTCCCTCATGCCATAACTGCTATTTAGTAACTAATGTATCAAATGTTCACTGTGTAGCGGGATAGCTAAGTATTTTACAGGCAATAGCTTGTGCTCATTTTTGGTACCCAGAGTTGTCTGAGTGACACACCATTCTTTTCTATGAATTTCAGAAACAAAACACCTGATAGGTTGCAACACAACAGTCAAATGAAATCATACCACAAGGTTTTATAAACACAAACTCTCTCTCAAAACAGAAATAAAAGAACTTCCCCAAAATTTTACAGATGAAGAAGATCTTTAAGGTTAAGGAACTTGCCTAAGATTTAGAGCTAACAGTAAGTGAAGGAGTCAGGACTAGCACCCAAGTCAGGCCTCCAAGTCCATGTTCTTAATTCCTAGGCTTTATTCCCAACTTTTTTTTTAACAGTAAAATAGTATTTTAAAGCTGAAATCTGCTTAACTCTAATACAAGTACTATATACAAACATTAAATTAAAACTTGGGAACTGGAAACTCATTAATAAACATTTCTCCATATAAACTTTTTAAGACCACCACCACATAAGACTGTCCTATATATTAAGACAATATTCTGGGGTCAGCGCTGTGTCGCAGCGGGTTAAAGTCCTGGCCTGAAGCACCAGCATCCCATGTGGGCACCGGTTCGAGACCCAGCTACTCCATTTCCGATCCAGCTCTCTGCTATGACCTGGGGGAGCAGTAGAAGAGGGCCCAAGTCCTTGGGCCCCTGCACCCATGTAGGAGACCCGGAAGAAGCTCCTGGCCCCTGGCTTTGGATCAGCGCAGTTCCGGCCATTGTGGCCATCTGGGGAGTGAACCAGCGGATGGAAGACCTCTCTCTCTGTCTCTACCTCTCTCTGTAATTCTGTCTTTCAAATAAATGAAATAAATCTTTGGAAGAAAAAAAAGAAAAAGACTATACACTAGGCCAGCACTGTGGTGTGCTGAGGTAGGCCTCCACCTGTGGCGCTGGCATCCCATGTGGGCGTCAGTTCATTTCCCGGCTGCTCCTCTTCCAATCCGGCTCTCTGCCTGTGGCCTGGGAAGGCAGTGGAAGATGGCCCAAGTCCCTGAGCCCCTGCATCGGTGCAGGAGACCTGGAGAAGACCTGGCCCAGCTCCAGCCATTTGGAGAGCGACCCAGTGCAGAGAACCTTTCCCTCCGTCTCTAACTCTGCCTCTCAAATAAATAAATAAATAAAACTATATTCTAACTCACGAGTTCTTAAACGTACTATACAGTTTATGGAGTGGGCATTGTGCCACTGCGGGTTAAGCCACCTTTGCAATGCCCACATCCCATATCAGTACTGGTTTCAGTTCTGGCTACTCTACTTCCAGTCCAACTTCCTGCTATCACATCTGGGAAGGCAGCAGATGATGGCTCAAGTACTTGGATCCCTACCACCCATGTGGGAGACCTGGATGGACTTCCAGGCTCCTGACTTTAGCAGGCTGGCTACTGGGGTCATCTGAGGTGTGAACAGCAGACAGAAGAAAATTCTTGTCTGTATCTCTCTCTCTTTCTCTCTCACTGCCTTTCAAATAAAGTAAATCTTCAATTGAACTTTTGTATATTCAATCACTGGCTGATTTTATCTGCAAGTGACAACCTGCATCTTCCACATCACAGCAGAGTTTTCTTTTCACTTAACTGTTTAAAAATTTATTTTTTCCTAGCCTTTTCTATTCTTTACTGAATTTCTAAAACACATTTATATCTTTCCACATCAAGGTAGATTTAAACATAACTTCAGCTGTGACTGTGATAACAAAAGTGAACAAATAAGCCTCAAAACATTTTTCCCATATAAAGATGAATTGGGATGACTGGAGCTCAATGAACAAGATCTGTAACTAATTTTGTACTGCAAACAGCTCTTGCTATAGTAGTTCTCAAATGACAGTCATTCTCCAATGGTGCGATACATAGCTTCCTGAACAATCTGCTTTTATGACCTTCCTGAAACTTCCAATTCCAACTGGTATAATCTGAAAATGCAAATCTTACCTGTTAGAATTGTTTGAAAAGCAGCTTCTACATTTGTAGAATCTAAAGCAGATGTCTCAATAAATGACAAACCATTCTTTTCTGTGGGGAGACACAAAAACTCAGTTTTGTCAAGTTTTACAAGTAAAAGAAAGAATGTCATATAATTAAGCTCTCAAAAAAGAAAATAACATGACTTTTTAAAATCTAAGACTGTGCCAACTTCTGGGACCGAAAGGGCACCATTCTGTTTATACTCTACCAGACTGAAGTTTTCATTGGCTTCTTGATTAAATATTTATTACTCTAAACATTACCAATAGCAATGAATGAGATCACTCAAAATGTAGTAAACTTACCAAACACTCAACTGTGCTCATTCCTTACAGTCCTCTGCATCCCTATGGTATTCACTTAGAATTTTAGAATTCTGTTATTATTGAAATAAAGTTTCTTCTTGTCTGGGAAACTAAAAACTGTTATGGAAAACTATTCACAGCATAATCACTAGTGCAAGGTCATGACTTTCACTAGCTAAGAATGCATGATGTTGCTTTCTGATAAGCTGCCCTTAACAAAACTGGGGCAGGACCAAGAGAAAGGCAGATCCTCTATGGGACCAAAGACAGCTCCTAAGCAGCTGTCTCCCTGTTGGTCCCTAACAATGGCTAGACCCATCTAGAGCTGCATTGGTAAAATACAGGCTTGATGGAAAAGGAGGTAGAACATGCTTCATTAACAGATTTCACCTACCACTTCAAGGGACAGAAAAGAGGACAACATTTATTTTCTGTGTTTTTTTTTTTTTTTCCCCACAAAAACTCAAAGTCTTGGTGTTTCAGTAACTTGAAGTTCAGCTAAAGAGCCATACAGTAATCACAAACTTTCAAAACAATCATCTTTGTTGAGTAATCATGTTTACTTTTCTGAAACTATTACAACTACCCTCAGTGAAAGAGTGAAGAAACCGCAAGACATAATAGTAAAAACTACAGAATCACTGTAATAGCATGGGATTCAAATCACTAACCTGCAAAAGCTCTTGCTTCATCAGTAGGAACTGCCCTGAGATGACGTAAATCACTCTTGTTACCCACGAGCATGATAACAATGTTACTATCCGCATGATCTCTCAGTTCTTTCAGCCACCGCTCTACATTTTCATATGTGAGATGTTTAGCAATGTCATAAACCAATAAGGCACCTACAGCTCCACGATAGTATCTGGAAACAGAAACACACACATTTTTAATTTTTTATTTACTCACAGTAATTGAGAGGCAGAGAGACAGAGAGAAAGGGGTAGACATTGCTCAACTGCTGGTTCACTCCCCAAATACCTGGCAGCTGGGAATTTAATTCAGGTCTCCCACATGAGTGGCAGGGACTCAAAGACATGAATCACCACCTGATGCTTCACGGAATCCAAAGCAGGGTCGGGACGCAAACCCAGGTACCCCAATATGGAATGCAGGGGTCCCAGTCACTGCACCAAACACCCACTCTCATTTTGTTTTGCTTATTTATTTTCATCCACTTGAAAGGCAGAGACAGCAAGAAAAAGATCAATCTTCCATCTGCTAGTCAACTCCCCAAACGCCTGCAACAGCCAGGATACCAGAACTGCATCCAAAACTCCTGTATGAGTGGCAGAGGCTAACACCTGAGCCATCGTCTGCTGCCTTCCACAATGCATTAGCAGGAAGCTGGATTGGAAGCAGAGTAGCCAGGACCTGAAGTGGCACTCGTAATATTTATTTATTTGAAAGAGAAATCTCCCATCTACTGGTTCACTACCTCAAAGAACCACAACAGCCAGGGTTGGGCGAGGCCAAAGCCAGGAGCTTCCTCCTAGTCTCCCATGTGGATGCAAGGGGCTAAGCACTTGGGCCACTTTCTGCTGCTTTCCCAGGTGCATCAGCCAAGGAGCTGGATCGGAAGCAAAGCAGCCAGGACTGGAACCCATATGGACGCCAGCACTGCAGGTGGCAGCTTAACCCACTGTGCCACGGTGCCAGCCCCTCAGCACTCTCAATACGGGACACAGCTGTCCCAAGAGGCGGCTTAACCCACTGTACCACAATGCCTACCCCTAGAAACATATCTTGTTTCCAACTTGTGGTTGCCTTCCCATACAAACATTTACCAGAAAAGAACAACAAAATAGAAGCAAACACCAGAAGAATTCAAAACATGGGTCACATATTTTTAAAAACACACTTACAGGGGCCAACATTATGGTGCAGTAGATTAAGCCAATGCTTGCAAGGCTGGCAATCCACATCAGGGTGCTGGTTGAAGTCCTGGATGTTCCGCTTCAACTCAGCTCCCTGCTAATGCTTGGGTCCCTGACACTCATGGGAGATCCAGATGGAATTCCTGGCTCCTTGCTTTGCCCTGGCCCAGAATCCAGTGTTTGGTTATTTGGGGAATAAGCTAGGATTATATCTGTTTCTTCTCTTTCAAACAAGTCTCTTTAAGAAACACACACACACACACACTTAGAAATAAACATCTAAGAATCCTATCTGTGGTTTCACTTTCCAGTTTCAATTACCCACAGTCAAACCACAGTCTAAAAACATTAGATGGGAAATTCTAAAAATAAACAATGTGTACTTTCACTTTTTCATTTTATTTGAAAGAGAGGGAGAGACAGGGAGACCTTCCATCTGCTGGTTCACTTCCCAAATGCCCAAACAGTCAGGGCTGGGCCACACTGAAAAGCCCAGAACTCAGTCCAGGTCTCCCACATGCGTGTCAGACTCAAGCACTTGAGGCACCATCTGCTGCCTCCAAGGGTGCGCGTTAGCAGGAAGCTGGACTGGAAGGAGAAGAGCCAGGACTTGAACCAGGCACTCCAACATGGATGCAGCATCCCAAGTGGCAATTTAACTGCCTGTACTGCATGCCCACCCTAACAATACATATTTCTCAAGTGGCACCTGAGTAGCATAATAAGATCTCATGCAGTCCCACTCCATCCAGGCTGGGACAAATCTTCCCTTTGTCAGTTGTATCCATGCCACATAAGCTGCCCACCCATCAGTTACCAGATCAGCTATCGTGGTATTATGGTGCTTAAGTTCAAGTAACCTTTATTTCATTTAATAATAATACCAGGCATAAGAATAGGGATGTTGGCAACTCAAATGTCAAGGAAAAGCCAAAATTTAAAGTTAAAATCCTTTAAGTTTACAGATATAGAGTTTGTTACTATTCATGCTTTTGGGTATCAATGGTGGTACTCAAATGTATCCCTCATGGATAAGAGAAACCACTGTACATCTCCTATTACCAAAAGTAGCTAATTCACTTGATAGAAATCTGTTTTGCAGAACCTAAAAACAATGAAACTTACGCTGATGTTATAGCTCGGTATCGCTCTTGCCCTGCCGTGTCCCATATCTGTGCTTTTATTGTTTTCCCATCAACCTGGATGCTTCTTGTTGCAAATTCTACTCCAATGGTGCTCTTGCTTTCCAGATTAAACTCATTTCGAGTAAATCGAGATAGAAGATTACTTTTTCCAACACCAGAATCTCCAATAAGGACAACTGAAAAGACAAAGAACGCAATGTCAGGTGAATGAGATAACCACATTCAGAATACCACTATGCTTTCATCAGAATGTTTGCCTTCAACGCAAATAAAGAAAAAAAAAAGATAGGACATCTTATTTTTCAAAAGATTTATTTAATTTATTTGAAAGGCAGAGTAACAGAGACAGATGGGAGAGAAAGAGGTTTTCCATCTGCTAGTTTACTCCCTAAACAGTCCCCACAGCTCCAGTCTGGGCCAGGCCAAAGACAGGAGCCAGGAGCTCCAGCTGGGTCTCCCTCACGGGTGGCAGGGGTCCAAGTGCTTGGGTCATCCTCCACTGCTTCCTCAGGCGCATTAGCAAGGAACTGGATCAGGAAGTGGAGTAGGTGGGACACAAACCAACACTCTGACATTGGACGGTGGCAAGGGCAGCTTAACCTACTATGCCACAACCCTGGCCGTAGGTTATCTGATTTTTAAAAAGGGATGGTGGGCAGGAGGTCGAGTAGCCCATGTCTTGACCAGTTATCAGTCAGTAGAACCAATTTATCTTCTGTTTCAGGGCCTGTGGTATGGCACAGCAAGTTAAGCCAGCTCCACTTCTGACCCAGCTCCCCACTAATGCACCTGAGAAAGCAGCAGAAGGCGGCCCAAGTACGTGGGCTCCTGCCACTCGGGAAATCCAGATGAAGCTCCTGGTTCCTGGCTTTGACCGGATACAGCCATTTGGGGAGTGAACCAGTGGATGGAAAATCTCTCTCTCTCTCTCTCCCTCCCTCCCTCCTTTTCTCCCCCCTTTCCTCCCCCTCTTTCAAATAAAACAAATCTTAAAAAAAAAAAAAAAAACCTATATTCTTTCATAATGACTTCCACACATTACAGATGTGGTACCATTTTAAACAAGCAATTTTAATCAGGTGTACTAGCCACTGATGGCAGGTATTAATTACCATCAATACTAAACCAATCTTACTACTGCAGAAGAGAACTTAAAAAAATCAATCCAAAACTAAATGAACTTAAAATGTATCAGACATGAAAACAACAAAGGATATTAATAGATATGGAGGAAGAGAATATGTTTTATTTAGTTACCTCAAATAAAAGGTGTGACTTGAGGACTGACATTCATTCAACATACAAAGCATCAGGTTTATAACCTTTGCACTCAGATCATAGAAATTAAAATGATCTTTAATAGTTGCTTGTATCAGATTACTACAAAGCTGGGGACCATTCCCCCCACACCACACACATACACACACAGTAACTAAAACAAACCTTACCCCACTAAAGGTAAACAAGGGCCTAGGAAGCTAATACTTCTCACTTATTGGCACACACTTTCACTTATGAATTAATGACTTTTTTAAAAAACAGGTTTAACTAGATGAAATTACTTATGATTCCTATAGGAGACAATGTATTTACTAAGTAACTTTTTCACTCCAAGTGATCATACTTATGAATTTCAAAAACAATGAAGGAGGCAGACATTGGCCTCAAAGTTAAGACACAAATTAGGACATCCTTGTTCCACGTTTGAGTACCAGCTCCTAATTCTTGCTTCCTGCAAATGTGGACTCTGGGGAAGCAGTGGTGAGGGATCAAGTAACTGGGCTCCTGCTACCCACATGGGAGATGTGTTGGCCATTGCATGGCATTTGGGCAGTGAATCAACAGATAGGAGCTCATTCTTTCTTTCTCTCTCTCTCTCTCTGAATAAATAATTTTTAAAGATTTATTTATTTATTTGGAAGTCAGAGTTACACAGAAAGAGAAGGAGAGGCATAGAGAGAAAGAGGTCTTCCATCCGCTGGTTCACTCTCCAATTGGCTGCAACGGCCGGAGCTGTGCCGATCCGAAGCCAGGAGCCAGGAGCTTCTTTTGGGTCTCCCATGCGGGTGCAGGGGCCCAAGGACTTGGGCCATTTTCCACTGCTTTCCCAGGCCATAGCAGAGAGCTGGATCGGAAATGGAGCAGCCAGGACTCCAACTGGTGCCCATATGAGATGCCAGCACTGCATGCGGTGGCTTTACCCGCTCCGCCACAGCACCAGCCCCTGAATAAATAATTTTTTAAAAGATTTATTTATTTAAAAGACAGAGCTACAGAGAGGCAGAATTACACAGAGAGATCTTCATATGCTGGTTCACTCCCCAAATGGCTGCAACAGCTGGAGCTCGGCTGATCTGAAGTCAGGAGCTTCGTCTGGGTCTCCCACACAGGTGCAGGGACCCAAGCACCTGGGCCATCTTCTACTGCTTTCCCAGGCCATGGCAGAGAGCTGGATCAGAAGTGGAGCAGCTGGGACTCAAACCAGCGCCCAAATGGGATGCCAGCATTGCAGGTGGCAACCTTACCCACTACACTACAGCACCGGGCCCCTGAATAAATAATTTTAATGGACAAATAGATAATAATAGATAAGTTGTAGATCAGCTCAGCTCCGGCTGTTGCGGCCATTTGGGGAGTGAACCAGCAGATGGAAGACCGGTTCTAGTCCCGGTCGGGGCGCCGGATTCTGTCCCGGTTGCCCCTCTTCCAGGCCAGCTCTCTGCTGTGGCCAGGGAGTGCAGTGGAGGATGGCCCAAGTGCTTGGGCCCTGCACCCGCATGGGAGACCAGGAGAAGCACCTGGCTCCTGCCATCGGATCAGCGCAGGCGCCGGCCACAGCACGCCGGCCACGCCGGCCATTTGAGGGTGAACCAACGGCAAAGGAAGACCTTTCTCTCTGTCTCTCTCTCTCACTGTCCACTCTGCCTGTAATAGTAGAGATACAAAAATTTATAATAAAGAGCCAGCTGCTTAATTTAGAGACCATAACTAGAAAATCAAAGATATGAGGCCCAGGAATAAGACCAGGTCTTTACAAAAGAGACTGCGACTCTGGGATTTGGTAGTGCAGGCAAAGAGAGGAAAACACTGTGAGAGCTCACTGCATGCAAGTCAGAGGAAAAAGAGTCCATTATGCATTGCTTCCTCACCACAGGAGCGGATGCAAGCTGGCTTCTGGAAAGTCTTGAAGGGAGTACATTATCAAATGCATATCTTTCTGGCTTTCTCTATCAGCTGATTCAGCAAGAAATCACCCCGGCAGCACAAAGAGTAGTTATTTCTAACTATCTAATCAATTAGAGGGTGTCCAAGGTGAGGGGCAAACACACATATTATATCAAACTTTTTTATCTGGGTACCTGGGAAGAAGATGTCAAGGTCATGAAAATGTACAAATCTAATGCACTTTCAATTTTTTAGAAAGATTAACTGAAATGTTAATTTCCAAGGTCCACCATCCTAACTGTAAAGTCAAAGGCCAGGTTTTTGCTTTTTTTTTTTTTTTTTTAAGATTTACTTATTCATTATTTTAAAGGCAGAGTTATAGAAAGGGATCTTTCTATAAAAGGGATCTTTTATCTGCTTAATTACTCCCCCAAATGGCCTCAACACCTGGGGCTGCACCAGGCAGAAGCCAGGAGCCTGGAACACCATCAGCGTCTTCACCATGGATGGGTGGCAGGGACCCAAGCACTCAGTCCATCTTCCGCTGCTTTCCCAAGCACGCTAGCAGGGAGCTGGATCAGAAGCAGAGCAGCTGGGACTCAAACTGGTGCTGGGTGCTCATGTAGGACTCTGGCATAACGGCTGAACCCGCTGCGCCACAACACCAGCCCCAAAGCCCTTCCAACACCACAGAGTCTACTTATTAATAGGATACAATCACGGTTACTTCTTAGTACACTAGGCTGGAAGCTTTGCTGAGAAAATCCTGTAATAGCACAGAGGTAGAAAAGCCTAACTTGAAGAGGGAACCAGAAAGAAGGAAAAAACCAAAAAGTTAGAACATTTCTGTTTCACAGGCACTCCCGCATCAAACAGTAACCCAGGAACCAGTCCCAGGGTTAAAGTCAAAGTGTGCAGTAAGGCATCTATAATGACAACGGATGCCTTTGGAACAAAAAAGACAGAGACAGACATACACACACACCCCCTCAAAGAACAGTCTCCACCCCCCACAAAAAGACCAGTCCTTTCAAGTTTTGGTTTCTTCCCTTTTGATCTCCACTTTTAACCAATGATTATGTTAATTACTTAACCAACTTAAAACTTTTTCATAAAGATATAGTGAGAGAATTTTTTTTTACATAACCAATTAACTTTAACATTATATAAAAAAAAACCACACACACAGCAACCTTAGCATTCAAAACTCATGAATGCTTCATACAGTATCAAATAGTTATCTCAAGGAGACATGGACAAGGTTACCAGAATAAAGACTAGCAAGCTGTTACAGGATACCTTAAAGGACCACAGGACACTGATGCTAGAATAGTGCAGTCAGGAGGATGCTGAGAAATAACAACTCACTAAGGACAGCTGCTTCTATGCAGTTACCAAATGAGAAATCAAAACAAGAATAACATACAGGCTCACTAAAATAAGAAAGAAATGAAAATAGGATAAATTACCTAAGCATCATAAGAGAATTTATTGGCTACAGTTTTTTTTAAAAAAAATAAAGCTTCATGGACTCAAATTTAAATAATTCTAATCAAAACAGTTCCTCTCATTAAGATAACAATATCTACTTGCTTATTTAAATGTGAGTGATATGTGATCACACACTATAGTCCATGAACTTGCAGTGACTTTCCTATGCTTTCCATTATTTGTATCTTGAGTTAAAAGTACTTCCATTTAAGCATGTTATAACTTAACTCTACCACCTATATAAGGAGTACTTCAAAAACTTCAAGAAAAATGGAACGAAAAGTTAATTTTGGGGCAAAAATTTTTGAAATCTACACATAGCCTTTGCATAATATGCAATTTCCATCAACTTTTTGAAGATTTTTCATAAACATGTATATATATCTATATATCAAATACATTGCTAAATACCATAAAAGCAGAATACATGTACTAATTATCCATTATTTAACAAAAATTTCCACCTCTTTACCCCCCTGTAGTTTTATACCTGATCCTGCAAACTAATTTACTGGACTAGAACTCGTATTTATTCCATCAAACGCAGTACATCAGCTCTAAAAATTATCATCTGAAGGAGAAACCACTTATTTTCATCCTGGTTTTCATCAACCTGGATGTCACAGTCCAACCTCACCAAGTCTTTCTAAAATCAAAAGCATTCAGAAGGCTGAAGTCTAAGACAAGTTTTTCCTGATTCAGCAGAATTCAAGTTGCTCAACCAAAAGTTGTGAAAGAAAAACTACTAAGAGGCAGGACAACTACCTTCACTGGGATTGTTTCCACTGACAATCAGCTGACGCCTAATTACTACTGACCTCCACCGAGAGGAAAGAAAGGGCGGTGAGCAAGACTGCACACCCAGATGCTTTCAGAACAAGTGACTTTGACTGGACCGGTGTCTGATACCGTGTTTGTCAACAGGAACTACAGCCGCTGCCTACTTCATTTATGTGTCCCTCGGGATCTTACCCATGTTGTGCGTAAATACTTAAAGAACTGCAGTTTTTAAAATAAAAAGTCAAGCTTCAAAAAATAAAACCAATCCCCCCAACCAAAAGCTTCACTGCTGAGCTTGAGTGAAGATTAATGTGCAAGAACAAATACGTAATTTAGAATAACTGTCCTACGCTCCCCACATTAGATTCCCATTTAGACCACGCCGTCCCACGCTGATCCAAACAACCCTTCATTTCCAACTGGTTAGAGTTACAAATTAACTCCACTTCCTTCAGCTATTAAGTCTGCTAGGTAAGACTTCTTTGAAGTAGAGACAGCAATGGTTCATCTCAGTGACCAAATCTCTGTAGAAGGAAACCATTTTAAAGTAAAATTATTCTTGCCTAGCTTTAAAATGAGAATTGTATAAATAAAGAGACTGGCTAAATAATCAAGCATTGAAGTTAAGAAAAAAAAAAGGTGACTCATATCCTGTAAGAGCTTCGAAGGCATGGAAATCCTCCTCAGCAGAATTTTTAAACACCATATTTTAAACAGCACAACAAGATGAAGCCCTAACCCATGAACATAAAATAGTTGAAGTTCCTACTTCTATGCTTCTTTAATAATATGTAAATGCTCTTCCGTTTAGAAATAAAGTTCAAAAAACGGACAAGATCCACAGTAACTTCCTTCAATGCACTGAGCCCTCACAGGAGCTAAAGTCGTAACTGCCCGGCAGGCTTGATCAGCCAGTCCCGGAGTTTGCTTCAGAGCTGGGGCTCCAAACACTTAACTTTCCCAAGGTCGTACCCAAGAGCGGAGTGGAATGTGAACTCAGGTGTCTGTGGTTCCAAAACCCTGTGCTCTCAATGTTACAAGGATGGTCTAATTCCTGAAACCAGGATGGCTAATATTCTGGGGTTGTTTTTTTCCCCAACATTCCAGTTCCAAACCAATCAGGAGAAAAACCCTGAGAGTCTACCTTGCTCTAAAGTACTTCAAAGGTAGCTAACTGCCCATGACATTGTAAAGGATTTGAAAAACAAACAAAAACCTGCCTTTAATGACTAAACCCAAAAGGCTCCAGGGACTGAAGTAACTTCCCATCAATTCCGACGCCTTCTGCAAAAAGTACACAAACTAATGCAGGTCTCCTTTTCGTCTCTGTAAAGTGAACCGAGTGCCTTTTTCACTGTAATGACTTTCCAACACGGAGGTCGTAGACATCGAAGGTACCCAGCCTATACTCACCCTATACATAGAATATTCCACCTCGGAGGACTAAGGTAAGAGCATATTATCACCGAGATTTGCAAAAGTATTGGTAAAGCAAAGCAATGGTTCCTGCTTCCTTCGGTCAATCATTCTAAGCAACCAATGGCAAAGTCAGAAACAGTCACCGTGCTCACCACTCTTTCAACTCCGCCTCCACGGTAAAGCTTTAATAGCAATGGCTTCTTCCTCCCCGTAATGATCTTTGTTCAGCTCACTACTGATGGCTGCCCTCACTCAGGAGGGAGGACTACCAGAGCCGAGCGCAGCCACTGAACAAAAAAGCATTTACTGGACTCGTCTCTTACAGAGAACTGAGCCCTTCACCTTCGCTGATTAAAAAACAAAAACTCTGGATTCTCCCCGACTCCTCTCGCCTCTCCCCACGCTCCAATTACGTACTGTCCAAGGGCACACACGTTCCCCTCTCTGATCACCACGGTTTAAATGGACCCGAAGAGCACACAAGTCCCCTCTCCCTCCTTTTGGGAAAGGTAGGCGGCCCACTAGGGCTCTTCCCTTCCTGTTGGATCCTCCCAGGGTTGCAGCAGGAAGCAACCAGTCCACAGTGATAAAGCAGGCTAGTATTTGTGCAGCGCGCAACCTTTCCTGCTCAGGAACTGGGCCTTCAGGTCTGGCCGGGATAACAGCCACCACCCATCCGCAACCCCTTCCCGCGAGCCGCGTACCGAGTGATCCCGGGTTGGCTGCAGCTGGGTCGGAAGAGGAGTTAAAAAAAAAAAAAAAGGCTAGGTGGGAAGTCCCCGCCGGTCGGGCCACTGCGACAAGTGCACGCAGGGGTGATGGACAAGCCCCCCGGCCCTCGGCACAGAGTTCCCAACTCGGGGGTGGGCGGCGGCCGGCCCGTGAAGGCTGCGCGGCGGGTGGGGTGGGGGTGGGGGCCCGAGCCGGGGAGCGGGGGGCGGCCGCCCGAGGGGAGGGGCGGCGAGAAAGGCTCGCGCGGGGGAAGGGGACACGCAGGGAAAAGCCCCGCGGTGGGAGCCTGAGCCGAAGGGCAGGCCCAGGGAGCGGCCCGGGGCCTGTCACCAAGGCCGGGAGGGGATGGAGCCGGCCCGGGCTGATGCTGCGAGGGAGAGGTCGCGGGCGGGAGGGGCGCGGGGCCGCGGTGGGGGAGGACACGCGCGCACACACGCGCGCACACACGCACACAGCGAGGGGCGCCGAGGCCTGGCGGGAGGCGGCCGTGGGGACGCCGGTGCGAGCGGCCGTGGGAAGCTCCGTCCGGGTACGGCCGGACGACCCGCAAGGAAAAGAAGGGCTGAGGCAGGCCCATTTCGGGGCTGGGGCAGCCCGCACGCGGGTCCCCCGGGAGTGTCCCGAGCCCCCCGAGGGCGGACAGGGCCGGGGGCCACGGCCTCACCTTTGAAGAGGTAGTCGTACTCGTCGTCGCGGGTGCCCATGGCGCGGCCGAGAGGCGAAGGGGCGGGAGCAGCGGCGGCTTCGGTGGGACCAGGGGGCGTCGCTGCAGGGGTAACCCGAGCGCGGAGCCTCAGCTGCCGGACCGGCTGGAGAGCCCCGCCCTACCGCTGCGCCACTTCCGGCAGGCCCCAGCCCCTGAGGGAAGTACTTCCGGGGAGGTGGCGTCCCGCCCCCAGCCGGGGACGGGCGGTGCGTCGGCGCCCGCTGTAGCGTCAGTCCTCAAGTCTCACCCTCCGAAAGAGTTTCAGAGGACGAAACCCTGAGTCCCGGCTTCCCAGCTGGTGCCAGTCGTAGTGGCCTCTTGTTCATTTCTGGCACCGCCCAGCCGGGCAGCGGGGCGCGGGAGCGCGTGGAACCCGCTTCTGAAGGTTGGGTGTGCGATGGGGGCGGGGTTCTCTAAGGATTAGAGGGCCGGAGCCGGCAGCACACGCGTGGCGGTTCCATGGTGTAATGGTTAGCACTCTGGACTCTGAATCCAGCGATCCGAGTTCAAATCTCGGTGGAACCTGCTCAGCTTGCTTTTTCTTTTTCCTCCCCGAAGTCACATTTTTATTTACTTCACTTATTTGCATTTCAACAAATGTGACATACTGGGTCTTGCCTTTGGTAGGGTGAGAATTAGAAAAAGTAAAATATAATATTCGCCTACGAAGACCTCTGCCCCCTGGGGTGCTCGTCCTTGGCCTCTTCGCCCTCTATAGCGTGGACCATCTGCCTCCAGCTTTGATTCAGAAGCTTCAGTGAAACTGAATTCCTCTTGCTGGAATTGCCCGTCCTCAGCCTCAGTCAGTACAGGATCCCCTCACCCGCTCCTCCCTGGAAATGTGTCGGATGCTCTCCATACATTGCCACCGTCCTCATCAACAGTCATCAGGAAAGAGTCCCATCTGGTGGCCGCCTACGTCCTCACCGGACAGGCAGAGCACGGGCTGCCCCTTGTCCTTTGACCCGAGTGATCCGCAGAGCTTCCTGGTATTTGGAGAATTCTGTGAATGCCAAAGAAAAGCCTCACAGACAAAGCCTCCCCCGCCCCTTAGTATCACAGTCCCACCGCCTGTGTGCAAACTCAGTTTACACTCTGGTCCAAAAGTGTCTGTGAACTATGACCCCACCCCCTATTGCCACCCCCACTCCCTGCTCCCCCACAGAATGCCCACCGCTGACACCTTGAGTTTCGCCCAGTGAGACCAGCATTCAAAAGTTTGTGATCATTGGTTAGGGCAGGAATAAAAATAAAATCGGGGGCCAGTCTTGTGGCGGGGCTAAGCCGCTGCCTGGGGCACCAGCATCCCATGTCTGAGTGCCAGTTGTAGTCCTGACTGCTCTGCCTCCGATCCAGCTCCCTGCTGTGAACGTAGGAAATCAGCAGGAGACAGCCCAAGAGCATGGGCTCCTGCCACCCTCATGAGAGACCCCAATAGCATGATGGAAGGTCTGTGTGTGTGTCTTCCTGTCATTTTGACTTTCAAATAAATAGAATATTTTTTTGGTGGCAGCTTTACCTGCTGCGCCACAGCGCTGGCCCCATAAAATCTTTTTTTTTTTTTAAGAAAAAACTAATACAGTGCTCTTTTCCATGCTTTCTCTGCCCAAATAAAGCGATAGGTGGTTTATCTAAGGTCCCGGATGCTACCTTGCACAGGTGGTGAGCGTACAAGCTGGGGGAGATGCAAGATTCTAGTATTACTCAAGAGGCAGCTATTTGCAGAACACCTATTCTGAACTGTTACATATTCATCAGACAGCCCTGGTGCCAGCCGGATTACGTAGACAAGAGCGGCCCAAGGAAGGCGGCTTAGTTCATTTCCTGTTGCCACAGCAGAGTACCTGCAACTGGCTAATTTAACAAGAAAAGATTTGGCTCGTGGTTTGGGAGGCTGGGAAGCCCAAGGGAGCGGTAGCAGCTTCCGGCAGGGCCTTGTGTTGCGTCCTTAGTAGAAAAGCAGGAGGGCAAGTGGGCAGGTGCAAACACCAGCAGCCGCCTCACTTCCTAACACTCACTCTTGTAAGAATGAAGCCCCTACCTGGAGAAAGGCATTAATCCCACTTAATGGCCTAATCACCTCCTAAGAGCCCCACCTCCCACCCCTACCACTGTGGCAATCCAGTTTCAACTCGGGGACAAACCACATGGAAACCATAATGGAGACTGTCAGGACGAAGAGTCTAGAAGGATGAACTAATCAGCGCTCTAGTGATAAGTGCCAGTGCCGCTGCTGGGAGAGACTGAGATGACCAGGAAGAGCTTGGGGGGCGGGGGGGAGCACGGGGCGGGGCGGGAGCTGGGACTGGGACTGACCCCGGAAGGAAGAAGCAAGGAAGCCAGCTCATTTTGGGAAGTCAGGAAAAGAGATGGCAAGCACATGTTGAGTGAGCAAGGGCATTAGTGCCAGAAGAATGACGAGCTTTTCCCCATCGGCCGTCTCTCACCGTGGGTTCTGGAAGGACGATAGTGGTCCCCAAGAGAAGGCTGCATGGCCAGATACACCAAGAGCGACCCCGTCTCCGCCGTCACAGGTCCCCCCGTAGCACAATGGGGATTTAAAGTCTCCAGCGAGTCTGAGGAAATGTGCTCTGGCTGTGCTGAACACAGCATTTCCTAGATTGGCCAGGACACAGAGTTCCTTTCCCAGGGACACAGCTAGCAGCCCTCTGAAAACCTTGGGGCAGTGTGCTGTGAACCCAGTCTTAGGTAGAGTAATCTGAGTGTGGACCACGGGGCTGGGGTAAAGCAAAATCTAGAGGTGTATCCGAAGTCTCTTGCAATCACATGGACACACGCTAACACACATGTGGTGGTGCACCATGGAACAGAGAAGGAAGAAAATCAAAGACTCTTGGGGGGGGGGGGGGAATGAGTGAATTTCATAAACAAGAGAACTAGGATTTTTCTTGTTTGGGGGGAGGAGGAGTAACTGCATGGCATTTTTAAGATTTATTTTATTTATTTGAAAGGCAGAGTTACAGAGAGAATATAGAAGAGAGAATGAGAGGGGGAGAAAGGGAGAGAGAGACCTTCCATCAGCCAGTTCACTCCCCAAATGGCTGCAACAGCTAGGGCTGGGCCAGGCTGAAGCCAGGTACCAGGAGCTTCTTCCAGGACTCCCACATGGGTGGCAGGGGCCTAAGCACTTGGGCCGTCCTCTGCTGCTTTCCCAGGCACATTAGCAGGGAGCTGGATCAGAAGTGGAGCAACCAGGACTCAAACCAAGTCCCTGTAAGATGCCAGTGTCACAGATGGCAGCTTTACTCATTATGCCACAATGCCGCCCCATCTTTTTTTTTTTTTTTAATCATTCAAGAAATGCGGAATCCCATTCTTAACATAAATGATTTAACTAATACAGAAGTGCGGAGCAGGCGTTTGGCACAAGTGCATCTCATATTGGAGTGCCTGGGTTCAAGTCCTCACTGTGCTTCCAACCTAGCATTCCCACTGACGTGCACACTGGGGGGCAGCGGCTGACGCCACCAATACTTGGGTCTCCCCACCACTCAGCTGAGAGACCCAGACTGAGTTCCTGGCTCTCAGTTCAGCCTGGCCTAGCCCCAGCTGTGGCAGGGATTTGGGAAGTGAACTAGTGGGTAGAAAATCTGTGTGTGTTGCTGTCTTTCAAATACATAAAACTCTTAAAAATAATAATGCAAAGTATACAGCAATTCTCAAAGTCTTCCAGTATTCAATGCCTCTCTCAGCCTTAGAGATAACTGCTATTTTTAAAATATCTACAAAAAACTTGGCTATATGCACTGGTCCTTGGAATTCTTCCACACCAGCCCTTACAGATCTGACTAAGTTGCTGCATAGTTTTCCTTAGCAAGGATATCCTAGTGCTTGTACAAAGATTCTCATTCCACTACCTATGGATATGGCCGATACTAAGGGTTTGTTAAAACCCAGGCCCAGGGGCCACTGCCTGCCACGCCGGCATCCCACATGGGTGCTGGTTCGAGTCCTGGCTGCTCCACTTCCAATCCAGCTCTCTGCTATGGCCTGGGAAAGAGTAAACGGGTGATGGAAGACCTCACTCTCTCTTTCTGCCTCTCTCTAATTCTACCTTCCAAACCTCTCTCTCTCTCTTTCTCTCTCTCTCTCTGACTTTTCCTCTCTGTAACTCTGCCTTTCAAATAAAAATAAATAACTTTTTGAAAAAAAAAAAAAAAAAACCCTAGACCCAACCCATGTCTTCCTTGTGGGTTCCTCCTGTAGAAGCCAGAAAGGCAAGTACTCATTTCCCAACTACCCTCAAGCTGGGAGCAGGTTCCCACATCAAGATTACCCAAAACAACTTTTTCTTTATTTTTGTAAAATATTTTTTTTTATTTGACAGGTAGAGTTAGAGACAGTGAGAAGGAGAGACAGCAAAAAAGGTCTTTCATCCACTGGTTCACTCCCAAAATGGCTGCAATGACCAAAGCCGGGCCGATCCAAAGCCAGGAGCCAGGAGCTTCTTCCAGGTCTCCCATGCTGGTGCAGGGGCCCAAGGACTTGGGCCATCCTCCACTGCTTTCCCAGCGGAGAAGCTGGGACTCAAACCAGCACCCATACGGGATGCTGGCACTGCAGGCAGGGGATTAACCTACTGTGCCACAGCACGGGGCCCATTTTTCTTTAAATATTTTTATTTTTCTTTCCATCTGGATTTTTATTTATATTAATGATGATATGAAGGAAGCATCTAAATCAATTCTTTTCAAATGGATAGTCAATGATTTCAACATTATTTATTTGAACACTGTTTTTCCCCTACTGATTTAAAATGCTTAATTTATTCTAAATAAACTTTACATGTATAAATGGCTCTGTCCTTAAATCTTTACACCATACCTCCGGCAGCCACGGATGCACTGGCTCAGATGTACTTCAAAAGAGAGCAGGCATTTACCTGCAGTTGAGGTGCCCGCACCGCACACTGGAACGCCTGGTTGATTCCCAGCTCCAGCTTCCTGCTCATGCCGACCCTGGGAGGCGATGGCTCCA